TGGGTGGTCTGAAACAGAGGAGAAAGAGGGAGAGAAGAGAGGAAGAAGAGAGTAGAAGAGAAAGAGGAGGGGAAGAGGGAATGGAGAGAAGAGAGGGCCCCTCCGCTACTGCCGTTGGCCGAGCCCCTCCGCTTCGTCGTAGCACCAGCGATCGTCACAGCACCACCACCGTCGCCTCCGATCCCGCAGAGCCCCTCCCCTTCGTCGCAGCACCACTGCTGTCGGCCGAGCGCCTCCCCTTCCTCCTTCCTCCTTCCTTCTCCTCCTCCTTCCTTCTCTTCTCCCCCTGTGATTATGTCCCCTCCAGTTCTCCTCCTTCTTCCTTCTCTTCTCCTTCTCTGCTTCTGAAATTGGATTCGAGCCAATTTCGAGCTCGACAATTCGAGCTACGTAGCAGTTCCGTTAAATCTAATTGATGGTTATTTTCCAAATGTATGTATTATTTATATAATAATATTGATTTTAGTTATTACTTACAATTGTTTATTGGGAAAATAAATGTTTCAAATTGAAAGTTGATTAAGGGCTGGTTTGGCAAGTCTAAAATAATCTAAAAAGTCAAAAAGTTACATAAAAAGTAAAAAAATCATTACTATTCACAAATAAAAAGTATTAGTGTATCATTTGTCTCATTTTGATAATCTGAACTAATTGTTTGTCATGTTTGCTGCTAAAAAAATGAATGACAAATGTGTTTTTAAAAAATAGATTAACTATTTTTTCATAAACAAATGCAAGAAAATGAAAAAAAGTTAACATTATCAGGTCGACCTAAATTTTTTCATGCACAATATATACGAAGGGTCCTACAAACTAAACAGTTTAGATTGTTAAAACGAGACTCATGGCAGATCTCATGAATCCGAACAGTAAAATATTTTATATATTTTTATGATACAAAAATTTGATAGATGCTGTCAGCCGTACTTGTGAAGCAGAAAGGCCATTATACACTTTTTAGGTCCAAAAAAAAAAATTACATAGGTAAAGGCACAAAGTTTGATGCTAATGTTGGGGCCCACTAAGGGTTCCGTTTTGATAATCCGAACCGTTCAATATGTAGAACTCGTTGAGTCATATATGCCTGCAAAAATCACGTTGATCGGATATCGTTAACTATATGATCAAATCATTTTTGTATAAACAAAATGAATGGTGTGATAGTTAACTGTTAAAAAAAACTAATCCGATCATATAGCTATCGATATCCGATCAATGTGATTTTTTACATGCATACAACACTCGATGAGTTGTACATATTGAACGATTCAGATTATTAAAATGGGACCCATGGTGGCCCCCACGAACCGATTATCACTGTCCAAACACTTTGCCCCGAAGGTGGCAATTATTTTCTGGGTAAGACATGCTAGGACAGCAGGCCAGCCGTACAACAACTCATCTTTCTTCCACTATACACTTTATTTATACAATTTTTTATTACACATTTTTTCATAAAATGACAAAAGGTTAACCCAAAAATCCATTTTTTTTCCCTCAACTTTTTAGTTCAAAAAGACAAAAAGTGTACTTATTTAGGACACCCCAAACAACTCCTAAATCATACATTCAGTGAACTATGTTACAAGAAAAGATTGAATGAGTTTGGTTGATAAATTGGCTAAAACAAGCTTGATTAGTAATTTTGGTACTAAAAATGCAAAGTTCAAAATTTTTAAATAAAATTTGAATTACCAACTAATCTGATTTTACCAAAAATGATTAAAAAAACCAATCCATATGTGTGTGTATAAGAGCCCTCATATTAGAAGCATGCTTTGCGCCTAAAAAAAAAGTAAAGTCGGCCTGCCGCCACTCACAACAAGAAAAAGCAGATTTCGCGACTAAAAATAGATTTTTCGTCGCTGAAAGTAGCAGAATTGGCGACTAAAATTCAATTAGTTGCCAAAAGTGAACACTTTTGGCGACTAAAGCAGTTTAGTAGCCGAATGTAGGGGTTTTAGCGACTAAAAGTCAGTTTAGTCGCCGAATGTAGGGGTTTTAGCGACTAAAAAAATTTTAGTAGCCAAAAGTGAAGGTTTTTGGCGACTAAAAACATTTAGTAGCCAAAAGTATACGTTTTGGTGACTAAAAAATAGTTTGGTCGCCGATTATATGTGTTTTACCGACAAAAATCAATTTCGTAGCCAAAGTGAACCTTTTTGGCTACTAAAAAAAATTTAGTAGCTAAAAGTCAAGAATTGCCGACTAAAATGCAGTTTAGTCGCCCAAAGTAGAGGTTTTGCCGACTAAAATTCAGTTTAGTCGCCAAAAGTGCTATCCTTAGGCGGGATTTCATTCTTTTAGCGACAAAACAGAAATTAGTAGCAAAAAAATATAGAATTCGCGACTAAAATTCAGATTTAGTCGCCAAAAGTGCTATCCTATTTTTTTTAGTAAAGAATTTATTTTTTACATAAAATATATTAAATAAAAATAATTATTTTTATATATATAATTTTGTATTAATACCGGTCAATATAGTATATAAATAATATATGTTGCAATAATATTTATGTGATGTTGTAGTGGCGTAGTGGGGAGAGAGTGTTGGTAAAGGTTGAGAATGTTGGGAGGTTGGTGGTTCGAAACTTGGGAACATTAGAGGCAATTTTTTTTTTTTTTTTTGAAAATGGCTTTTGGCGACTAAAGTTTGTGGTCGCCGAAAGATTGGCTATTGGCGACGAAAAGTTTAGTCGGCAAATGTATAAATAAAAAAAAAATTCACTATTGGCGACTAAAAGTTTGGTCGCTAAATGTATAATTTCCAAAAATGGAATTGACTATTGGCGACAAATTCTTTGGTCGCTGAAGACCTGTGTATTGCCGACTAACAGTTTTTTAGTCGCCAAAGGTATTCGCGACCATGTATTCGCGACAAAACCGGCGACTAAAATATTTAGTCGGGGAAAGTAAAA